TCCTTCCAGGCTGAGAAGGACCCATCCACTACCACCCTCTGGGTGCGGCCCTCCAGCCAGTTGGCGACCCATTTGACTGTGTAGGTGTCTACGCCACAGCCCCCCAGTTTCTTAATGAGAATGGGGTGAGAGACAGTGTCAAAAGCCTTCCGGAAGTCCAGGAAGACTATGTCCACTGCTACCCCTGCATCTAATGATCTGGTGATCTGATCATAAAAGGCCACCAGGTTGGTCTGACAGGACCTGCCACTGATGAAGTGTCAGACACTCACTAGCTGAAATGAAAACAGCAGTTATACATTTTAAAGATGCTGCTGCTTCTTACCTAAACTAAAAATCCCACCTTTCACAAAAGTAGAAAAGAGTGAAATATAAGCAGATACTTACTGTGCTCCAGAAAGTGTGCTAATCCAGGCAGATCTTCAGGATCAGAGAAGCTACCAACAGCAACACAAAGGGCAGCTGCAGACTAGAGAAAACACAACATCCACAGTGAGCTATTTCTCCAGGAACATCAACATCTGACCTAGTAAGGGGATATTTCAAAGCTATCATACATTTACTCTATTCCCCACCTGGTACAGAAGTGGACATACAGGCCACTGACAGATGTGAAGAAAAAAACAAAAACAAAACAAAACAGCACTTCACTACAAGAGGAAGTGCATTAGTTTGACCCGGCTCCACAGTGTCTGTATAGATCAGGTGCTTCAGCGTGGCTTTTTGGCACTTTTATCTAACAGCTGATAGAATCAGCTTCAGGTAAAAGTGCCAAAAACCCCCACTGAACTGTGTGATCTATACAGATGTTGGGCAAGCTGAGTCCAACTAACGCAGCACCTCTTCTGGGCATGCACTGCGCTCAGTATGGGGGCATGCTTAGCTGAAACTAAAGCGGTTTTGTTGGTTGTTTTTTTTCCCCCATGTCTGTAAGCAGTCACAAGGACTATATTATATTCCATTCTGAGGCAATCACTGGGCAGGCCTTGCATCTGAGAAACAGCACAGGCTCTCCTCTGGGTAAGAAAGATAGGGTCTTTGCATAAAAGTGATGACGACCATAAAAGCTCTAAGACGGATTAGGTAGGTGACACACAGGAATACAGGACCAGGTCAGAAAGAGCACCCAGCCAAGAGCTACAGAGTTTGTAAACAAGCAGAAGTTCTCCAGGTAACCATTTTTCATTTTATAGCATTAATACATACCTGCTTTTCTGTACAGCCCCTCTTTCTTGTCTCTTCCTTTTCTGCTAGTTCTTCCAATTCACTGTCAGGGTCATTGAGTTCCTCTCCATCATCATTTTCACCTTCTTCCTCTTCTTCCTCATCATCACAGTCCTCATCATCATAATCCTCCTTGTCATCTTCAATTTCTGCCCCAGAGTCATCCTCATCACTTTCATCTTCTGATTCATCATCATCCTCCTCTTCTGAAGACAGTGCAGAAGGAGCACCGTCCATGTTATTTAAATCCGAAATCAACAGTGCACTTAATCCATTTTGCAATTTGATGTACCTAGGAGAACAATTGTGTGAATACTTGGACATCAGTTGCTTCCTAAAACCTCTGAATGGCCAAATACAGGAATTTCCAGATTTACCATAACTATATGGGGCTCCTCAACAGAAGTAACAGAGGACAACTATGAATTCTAGCATAATTTACATCTGTACCATACACCAATACAAGCTATACCAAAGTATCTAATAGGCATGTGGCTTATCCTAGGCCAGGGGTGTCAAATATGTGGCCAAAGGAGCAGCTCTATCTGGCATACCAGGCCTCCAGCAGAATTAAAAGTTTTGGCCCCACTAGCCATGGCTGTTGGCCATGAGCTTGGCTTGCCACTGCCCCCAGACCACTCCTTTACATCCAGTGCCACCACCATACCCCTCTGCCTTCAGACCGCTTGCTACCTCTGGACCCAGTGCTGCTACCAAACCCCCCGCT